TTGATTAAGGGGTAAAGAATTTTGAGTCGTTGGTAGCCTTGTTGGAGTTTCGAAGAAATGTGAGGGTTCCAAGTTAATTTTTTATCTAAGATAACACCTAGATATTTTATAGTTGGAGACCAGGATATGTAGTCGYCATCAAGTACTAGAGAGGGAGGGGTATTGGGGCGACGAAGTGTAAATAATACTGCTGTACTTATTGAGGGGTTTAAGATAATTTTCCATTTTTTCGCCCAGCACTTTATTTTGTTTAAGTGGCACTGTATATTATTAGTGGCAATGTGTACGTCACTGGAGCTTGAATAGACAACACTGTCGTCAGCGTAAAGAGAAACTTCTGTGTTAGATGTAGTGGGAAAGTCCGCGATATACCTATAAATTAAAAAGCATAGGAGAAATTTTTGATCCTTGGGGAACACCGGCTGTTATTTTTTTATTGATGAACTGGAATACGAATTATAGTTATCATTTTACCAGTTTGGAATTAAGATAATATTAATTTATTAGCACCAATTGTTTAGAGTTATTTTGAATTTTTATAGCTTTTCCGTTTTTTGTTGTTCATGTAAGTATCCTATTTTATATGAAAAAATATATTGTAACCTATAAATTTAGAACTACACGTTTTATCCTAATCTGAGGCCTAAAAAAATCTTGTATCTGACATACATATAATAAACTAAATAATAAATCCAATTGTATTTCTACTCGAATTTGTGTATATATTTGACAAAAATAGAATTATTTCCGGTTGGTGTAACTAACAAGTTGATTGTTCATATTCTATGCATGTCAGTATGCATGACATATACATAATAAAATTTAATAATGATCATAAAATAACAAACGTATCTACATCCAAGTAAAAATAGCACGAATCATTTTGTTACCTACTCTTATGTACAATTTATTATTTAATGTATTGTTATTGAAATCATCAAAAACAATGACATAAAAAAAAAAAAATTAATGAAATATTTTATATTTCTATGACAATGAATAGTTTATCCTAAGAGAGAAACTCGCACTGTGAAAATATTATCAGTTTAAATCTTTAAGTATAAAAATTTCTAATAAAATAGTATATTATAATAGTAAAAAAATCTTGGTTGTCAAAATAAATTTAAAAATGTAATTTAGTAACATATCAATCAATTGAAAATGTTTGTTTTAAACAACAATTGTACAATATTTAAAAAAAAATAAAATTAGGAAACTTAAAAACTATCAACACAGAACAATTATATTATAATAGCCATTCAAYATAGGTTATAAACAAAATGTTATAAGTAAACAGTAAAATATTTTAGTTATTATTTGTTCTAATCACATATAAAGTACTAACAATTTATTTTCGAATACCTACGTATTGAATGTTAAAATACGAATCAATATATTTTATAATAGACACCTACTAAATAATATTTTAATGGTAAGTATTACCGATTTTCAGGAATCACGTCATAGCCATTGACTAAATTGACCACGGAACTTTTCTAAACTCTCTTTTGTCTTTTCTCTCAATAATATAAT